ACCTGGGAAAACTCATCTTTCCAGAATCTTTATCTGGATTGGCACCAGTTCTCACCTGAAACTGATTCTGTAATGAGCTGAGTCTGAAAGCCTGTGGAAATAAACTGAAATCTGAATTATATAAGGCCCAGATAATTTGCACACCATTTATTATATTTGGATGAATGTTGGATAAATACATGTTTTTTTTAAAAAAATCCTCAATCCGTTCAATATCAAATTGTGTTTTTAATTAATGTAGTTGCAACTTTAGAATTACACAATGTATTACAGTGCACCAATAGATCGTTTGGCCCCACAACCAGTGTTTATGATCAACATGCTCGCTCTCCCACTCCTTTCCATTGAACCCTTCCATTAGTAGGTCCTGCTGCTCTTTTCCTTATTTACTTTTCTATCTTCCCCTTAAAGCATCTATGCCACGCAACCCTGTTGTTTCCTGTGAGCTCATCATTCAACCACAGTCTGAATAAAGATGCTGCTTATAAATTTCGAATTGGATTTATTCCTGGGCCCTAGCGTTGGACACCTTACAACAGTAAACGTAGAATCCATTTGTGGTTGCAGCACAGAAGAAGGTCACTCAGTTGGTTGTGTCCTCTGCAAAAGCACCTTGCCAACAAGCACTTTATTAATTGTGAAGATCTCTGTTCAGTCATCCCAGAGTCTCAGCTATTCTTTGAAGGAAAGGAGCTCAATCCTTCCTAATAATCATAACTTTCAGATCTGGTGTAGGGCATATACAGGACACTGTAGAATGTTTAAGAGGTAACGACCTTCCACAATGCAGGGGTCAACTTAAAAAAAATAAGAATGATGAGTGAAGTTGCAGTAGTTTCTTAAGTCAATAAATGTGAAGCTCAAAAAGCACAGCCGAGGAGCAGGAAAGTCAACATTTCAGGCCAAAACCCTTCATCAGGACTGAGAGGGACAGGGGAGACCGGAAATAAATAGGGGGAGTGGTGTGGGGCTGGGAAGAGATGGAGTTAGGTGGATGAGGTAGGGGGTTATTGTGGTTGGTCAGTGGGAAGGGTGGAGCGGATAGGTGAGTCGGAAGGTGGACAGGTTGGGGGAGGTGAGATTTTGAAGCTGGTGAAGTCAATATTCAGGCCATTGGGCTGTAAGCTTCCAAGGTGAAATATCAGCTTTCTCCAGTTTACGATTGGCCTCACTCTGACAATGGAGGAGGCCCCAGGGATGGACGTGTCAACAGGGGAGTGGGAGGGGGAGTTAAAGTGGATGGCAACTGGAAGGTCGGGTTGGTTGGTGTGTGCAGAGCACAGGTGCTCCTCAAACTGGTCTCCAAGTCTGTGTTTGGTCTCCCCGATATAGAGGAGACCACACTGGGAGCAACAGATACAGTAGGTGAGGTTAGAAGAGGTGCAGGTGAACCTCTGCCAGATTTGGAAGGATTGTTTGGGCCCTCGGATGGAGCTGAGAGGGGACGTGTAGCAGCAGGTGTAGCACCTCCTGCAGTTGCTTCTAGTTTCTTACTGGGACTTATGCTCCATTTGAACAGTAATGGTTTAGGTTAATAATGGTTATTTTCTTTAATGTGTTTGCTATCTGCAACCTACAGTCTCTTCACTTACATTCCATCATATAAATGGGTTGGCAGGAATGAGTTTGTGAATGCATTTGAGTCTTATATCTATGTTATTTATCCTCTTGGATCTGTCACTTCACAGTCCGTAGCAAATTGACTGTCAATCCGATTTATAAGTATCACTTAGGAATTGAAATGCGTCGCAAAGTATGTGTTGTATTTGAACCTCATCATTTCGAGTATGTTTAGTGCTGGTTCATTACAGCTCAGAGCAGAAATGCTAAAACTCCCAAGCAGGCTTGATACGAATCAACTCGACTTTGTCTTTCAAAACTGCCAATCAGAAACCAGCATCTGCCACACTTCAAAATAAATTACACATGCAGTTTTTTTTTTCACCCAGTTAGCTGTCATTGTCCTTCCTCATGAAGGCAAAGAATGCTTCTGGTACTTGTTAAATTCAATTTAGACCAGGTGCCATTTCGATGAAAATTACAAGTGCCAGGAATAATTAACGGCCAAAGATCCAAGAAGAAAAATTAGCAGCCACTTGGGCAATTATGGAGTAATGGAGGAAAGCCAGATGGATTTGGTAATGGCAAATTAACTTGATTAACTTGATCATGGATTTTGATGAGATATCAGAGAGTGTGGTTTGGGGCGTTTAATTTTGTGTGTATTGACTTTCAAAAGTCATTTGAAGTACGATGATGCAGCATATTAAAAACAATTGACGCTAATGGACTGAGAGGGTTAGGATCATAGTGGAAAGCAAATTGTTAAAGTATGGATAGTAGGATTGTTGAGAATGGTTGTTTTACAAAAAGAAGTGGCGTTCTCCAGGATTCAGTCCTGGGTACCTGTTGTTTTTGATACAGTTTAATAACTTGGATTGGAAGGTGCAGGGCTATATTTTGAAATTTTTCGATAACACAAAATCTGAAACAGTGAGATAGGTAACAATAGACTTTGAGAGGATCTAGATAGGTTGTTGGAACGAAAGGACACATAGCAGATGAAATTAATTCTAGAGAAGTGAAACAAGGTATATTTTGGTAGCAAGGATGAGGAAAGACATTGCAACTTAAATGGTATATTTGAGAAACAGGTCCACACTGGAGAGATCTGTGGAAGTCCAATCTTTGCAAAGTAATTTATATGGAAAATGAGATCTTGGGCTTTAAAAATAAAGGTATTGCTTACAAAAACCCTAAACCTGCATATGGCAGTATTTTGCCCATGTCATGTCTAATTCTAGGCATAATATGTTGAAAGGACACAATGGCTATGACAGGTTATTGTGGAGAGTCTTATTTTTAATTTGTTGTTGGTGTTGGATGTCACTGGCTGAGTCAGCATTTATTGCCTGTCCCTAATTGCTCAGCGGGCAGTTATTCTTCAACCACATTGCTGTGGGCCTGGAGTCACATGTAGGTAAGGATGGCAGATTTCCCTTCTCTAAAGGACTTTGGTGAACCAGATGATGAGTAGACAAGATCATAGCATATGGAACATAATATGGGCAAGTGTGAGGTTCTCCACCTTAATAGGAGGATCAAAGGTGCAGAAGATTAAATCGTGAGAGATTGTTATGTATTGATGTCGAAAAGGATCTTGATGTGTCTGTTTGTAAGTTATTAAAGGCTGCTGTGTGGATACAGCAAGCAATTTGGAAGTCTGTTAACCTTTATTAGAAGAAGATTGGAGTACAGGAGCAAAAACAAAATTGCTTCACTTCTAGAGAACACTGTTGAGACCACAGCTGGGGTATTCAGTGCAGTTTTGTCCCTGAAAAAGAATATTCTTGCCAGAGAAAGGTTTGCAGTGGAAGTTTACCAGATTGATTCCTGGGATTGTGGGACTCTCTGATGATGAAAGATTGAGGAGATTGTGGGCCTTTATTCTCTGGAGGTTAAGAAGAATGAGAGAGGCTCTCATAGAAAATTATACAATTCTAAAAGGGCTATGCAATGTGGATACAAAAAGGATGCTTCCCCTGGCCGATGAGATTAACAACCCGGGGACACAATCTCAGAAGAAATGCCAAGTCATTTAGGACTGAGGTGAAGCTGAAGACTGTAGAAGTTCCGTTATTAAGTAAGTCCAAGACAGATTTCTAGTTAGCAGTAACATGAAACAATGTGGAGATGGAAAAGGAATATGGCATTGTGATAGATAATCAGTCATGATCTAGAATGGCAGGGAAGGCTTGAAGGGCTGATGGGCTACTTCTGCTTCCATAGTCCTATGCTCCTGATGGGCAGTGAGGATTGGTTCGAATTTGCCTCATTAATCAGTAAAATCATTCAGTGACAGTGTGGTTTGGTTGGTGTTAAAACAGTCATTCTTAAATTATAAAACTTGAGTGCCAAATAGCTTTTTTGCCTATTGCAGCTGTTATGAAATTATCTGCTGTTTGCCTGTTTTCAACAGACAAATGTGAACTGAAATAAGTACTGAACCATCCATAAAGAAGCTATTTTAGTTTCATAACTGTGATAATATAGAGACACATGAATCCTGTTTACATAAAACCTTCTTTGTGCTTTTGGGAAAATGGCAACTTCAAATGCTGTTATAATTTTTTGAACAATTTTCAGTTTTCTTTTCCAAGGACTCAGTAAATGTAGCTATGTAATGTGTCCTGGCACTTTTGTATGTATAATTATAAATGCCTACAGTAAGCACCTCCAAATTTATATAGAATGCATGAAGAAACTAATATACAAGAAGCTATCTGTAAACTGTGGAATAGAGAGCATATTACTGCAGATGCTGGAATCTGTACTAAAAACAAAAAATGCTGGAGATCACAGCGGGTGAGGCAGCATCTGTGGAGAGAGAGCAAGCTAATGTTTTAAGTCTAGATTACTCTTCATCAGAGCTGACATGAAGTGTGGAGTGGACAACATTTATGCAACAGTGGGATGAGGGGTGTGGGAGTGGAGCGCTGGGGAGAAAGGATGTGCAGATTAAGTGATTGGAATGTAAAGTCACTTTACAACATTCTGGATTTAATATTGAGTTCAGCACCTTCAGATTGTGAACCCACTCTCATTCCTTCCCTTTCTTTTCGCTTTACTGGCTGTATTCTCTGTCACCATGTCCTCTTTCCCCTCCCCGTCTCCAGTGGGAGCACCTGTTCTTTCCTGTCTGATGAAGAGTCATATAGGAACATTCGTTGCTCTCTTGCTGTCTCTCCATGGATGCTGCCTGACCCACTGTGATCTCCAGCATTTTCTGTTTTCAATAGAGAGTCAGTGTTGTAAAGCTGGACTCCCAGCACATTGGACAGAGAAACGTGTGATAGGGTTTGTATTTCATCATACATTCCAAGCAGGATTGAATAATTGGGAAACTTACCCTTGTGTATGTTACGTTTTACATTTGAAATAGTTGAATTTTATTAAGATAAAGCAGGAAACAACAGTGTTTGTTTTCTCTTTTTCTCCAGAGGGCAAGGTTGAAGTAACAAAAGAAGGAGTGAAGCTGTGCACCATGGGACCAGGCAAGGTGTTTGGTGAGCTTGCCATCCTGTACAACTGCACCAGGACTGCCACAGTGAAAAGTAAGGTCCTGTTCAATGCACCATGTCCTGCTGTGTGATCATGTTTGACTTGTGTTCCTTTGCTGAATTCCTGTTTTGTGACGTGGGAAAATTGTATAATGTGTAATGCTCCAAGCTGAAGTTAGCACCATCCTCCCTAAATCACTGGAATTAGATAGGTCACGTTTGATTTGAAGTTAGAATTAGAATTCTAATTAGAATTAGGTTTTGTTGTCACGTGTACCCAACTACTGGAATACAGGAGTATACAGTGAAAAGTTTACAAAGTTGCTATTCAAGGTGCCATCTTGGGTACAAGGTACCTAGGTACAAAATCTTAGGTAAAAATGTGAGAAAAATAAAGAAATTAGTTAAAAGTTCAACCTTACAATTCTTGTCAGTATGAAGTAGTGAATAAGAAACAAAATAAGAAATAAAGAAATAATGGACCTCACGTGCTTGTATGGAAACACAATTAATTAAGTTTTCTGAAATTTAGTTGGGGTGAAGGAGAGATTAGATTTTCTGAGAACTATAACCTTATAATCTTAAATTGTTCATCTTCAAATTCAAAGGATCATTTGTTCAACAACACTTGAGTTTCAACAATTACTTGCAGCAACAGGCAAAGAGTATGGTTAATGCAATCCTTAAGGTCATCTTCAAATTGCAACTTGTTGCATCTTGCAGTCTTTATTTATGTTTTATATTAGAGAGAAAGTGCTTGATCTGTTTAAGAGAACATTAAATTTGAAAAGGATATTTTCTTTGAATTATGCTGTATTAATAAAGCTGGAAAAATCCTATTACTATACAGATGTGCACACACAAAAGACATAAAGTGACAGACATTTACTTTCAGGTTACTTGCCTTGTGCAGTACAAATTAATTATATTGAGATCTTCTTGTTTGTTGTAATGTCTCATTTGTACTTGAAGGTGGGCACTTTATCAGCATTTCAGTGTCCACTGCAAAGCGTAGTTTTGGAAGGATACAGCTATCAGACTGGACTGACATCAGGTAGTGATCTAATCCTCACCCTCTGACCTGTTCTTCAATCCAGCCCAGAGTGTTTATTGTTAAGATAAAAAGGCATGATAATGTACAAGGGTGACTATATGTGGAAAAAAGAGGAGCTGCCAGCATGGAAGAGATCCAACAGATGTAGGTCATCAGAGTTGTAAATAAATTCACACAAACTCATGTCCAGAGTCATTCCATCTTAGGCTCTTAAAGGAAGCCAGTGCAGAAATGATGGATGCTCTGGGGATCATTTTCTAAAGCTCACTAGATATAGATGAAGTACCAGAGGACTGGAAGTCTGCGAACAATGTGCTTTTCAACATGGTTACAAAGGATAGGCCAAGTAATTATAGGTCAGTCAGTCTGACCTTGGTGGTGGGCACACTACTAGAATCAAGACTGAGAGTTAGGCTTAGCTGTTACTCAAAAGGCATGGATTGATCAGAAATATCCGTAGAGTCATAGAGCTTTACAGCATGGAAACAGGCCCTTTGGCCCAATTTGTCCATACCACCCAGTTTTCACAATTAATCTCGTCCTATTTGCCTGCATTTGGTCTGTATCCCTCCATATATCCCATCCATGTACCTGTCAAATGTTTCTTAAACAGAGTGGTTTTATGAAGGGAACGGAAGATTGTGTGGAATTTTGAGGACATAACAAAGGGAATTGGTAATGTTAGTACAGTGAATGTTGCCTACATGTATTTTAATAAGGCACTCGACAAAGTCCCACACGACGGACTGGTCAGAAAAATTAAAACCCATGGGACATGGGAATGCGGTGAGTTGAATTTAAAATTAGCTCAGTGACTGGAAACAAAGGTCTATGGATGTTTTTGTGAATGAAAAGTAGTTTCCAGTGGTGTCCCATGAGGCTCAGTGTTGGGTACCTTGCCCTTTGAGGTACTTATCAATGATTTAGATTTATGTGCAGGAGGCATGATTTGGGAAATTTGCAAATAACACAAAAATTGTCTCAGTAGTTGCTAAGTGAAGTGAATGACTATGTGCTGCAGGAGGATATCAAAGGTTTGATTGAGCGGGTGGAAAAGTAGCAAAAAGAATTCAATTTAGAGAATTGTGAGCTTATATATTTGGGGAGCACCAACTTCAGAAAAGGGCATACACAGTAAACGAGAATGCATGTCTACAGTTTCCTGAAGGTAAAGAAAAGATGGCAAAAAAGGAAGATAGGATACTTTCATATATTCTGTGAGCTGTTAAGTACATGCACAGGGATGTAATGCTGGGAACTACATGAGACACTGGCTAAGCTACAGTTGGAGTTTGTGTATAGTTCTGGTCACCACATTACAGGAAAGTCTAGAGGGTTTATGGAGATTTACAAAAATACTGTCAGGATTTGGAAGTTGCAGATATGAGAAAGGAATAGATAGGCTACAGTCATTTTCTTTATAACTTAGGAGGCTGTTCTAGGTGTACAATATAATGATAAGTTTGGATAGAATAGACATAGAAAACCTGTTTCCCCTGGTAGGGACGCCACTTACCAGGGCACATAAATTTAAGGTGATCGATAGAAGGATTAGAGGGAACATGAGTAAAAACCTTTCTATCCAGAGAGTGATGAGTGTTTGGATTCACAGTCGAGTTTGGTGATTGATGTTGAAACCCTCAGTTTATTTGAAAGGAAACTGAATCTGCAGCTAAAGGGCTATAACCTACAAGGCCACAGACCAGATGCTGGAAAGTGGGATTGAAATTGAGATGGAGGATGGTCTTAATTAATCAGCCAGTGCAGGTATCTTAATGGGCTGAATGGCCTCTTTCTGTGCTGTAACTTTTTTCCTGGCTCTATCAGAATCAGCAACTATGGTCTAACTACTAAAAGAGCCAACTATTCATCTTCAGCTTATTCCTTTGGGTGAAAGATAGCCCTCTGACATCCACTCCTTGGCCTTATTGGTCATTGCTAACTCCTCATGGAGTGTGCGACTTCACCTTCACCTCAAGTGACTGAGCCACTGTGATTCCCGCTTCTGAGCTGGTGCTCGGGAATAAATGAGTACCTCTTGCTGGCATTCTTACAGAAGGAGAAAAGATGAGTAAGAAGGTAGTTTTAGGGCATGTGTAATTATTTCTTGCTTACACCCAAACCTTCCTATCAACCTCTGAGGATTTCTTAGAATCATTGAATCCCTACAGTGTGGAAACAGGCCATTTAGCCTTTAGAGTCCACACCGACCCTATGAAAGGCATCCAACCCAGACCCGCACACCCTCACCCTATCCCTGAATTTCTTATAGCTAACCCACCTAGCCTTCACATCAGTGGATCCTATGGGCAATTCAACATGGCCAATCTTTTGCACATCTTTGGACTGTGGGAGGAAACCCAGGCAGACACACAGAGAGAATGTGAAAATTTCACACAGACAGTTCACCCAAAGCTAGAATTGAACCTGGGTCCCTGGTGCTGTGAGGAAGCAATGCTTAGCACTGAGCCACCATGCCACTCTTAGGAGCAGCAGATGAAGAAGTCAGTCATACATCTCATTTCCCCTCAATTAATGTCATACAGTTAACTCTGTAAAATTAAGTCATTTGATTAATAGTTGAACATACGCTTAAATGTTTTTATAAGATGAATTATTTAAATAACACGCTTGGACTTGAAAAGGCATATTAGCAAATGATAAGGGAGAGATTATATGAGACAGTGGCAAGAATGGGAAGTTTGGCTGAGGAGTGCTCCCTTTGGATTCTGCATTGGACACATTCACAATATAAATGGAAAAGATGTTTTCTCCCCCCTGCCCATCCTGGTTCTCAGCCTGCTCCATCAGGATCCCCATGGTCGTGTCCAGGAATCTAGATACTATTGCAGCTCTTGAAGCTGCTCCCCACATCATTGTACAGCTCCAGTGTCTTGCTCCTCCTGTTGCAGGTAGCACATGTGAGACGGCACAAATCCTTATAAATCTGGAGCAGCATAATGGAACCACCACCCAACAGCAGCTCAACTACCATTTGGAAATGAGTGGCCATTCACTTAATCTCCATACCATGGGTTGGGAACCTTGGGCATGTAACATTGCTATTATAGAAAGATGACAGAACTAGAGAATTGTAGACCAGTTAACCTAACATCTGTTGATGGAAAATTGCCCACCATTTATTGTCAGGGATTTGCTAGACTGGATAACTAAGGGTAGAGTGACTGAATGCCTTGGACTTTTCAGCTGATCAGAGAAAAAGCGCACGGAATTGTTGGTGATATCTTCTGACTCTGGTTAAATTTTTTTGTACTGGTGACCCAAGAAGTGGGCAGAGCAATTCCCATTGATGTGGCTCATATTGAGTCTCAAAGGCATCTGATCAAATTTCTCATAACAAACTGTTCACTAAATTGAAGCTCATGGGATTGATGGCAAATTATGGACCCAATTAGGTCATTGGCCGTATTGCGTGAGACGAGACAGTGGACGGGTCATCTCATTAGTAGGATGTGACTCATGGTGTTCTGCAATGATCTGAGTTGGAGCCTCAATTATTCACTGCATTTGGCAGCTAGAATGCAATGTATCCAGGTGTGCTGATGTCGCAAAGATGGGCTTCATTGTAAGCGGACTGAAACATCAAATTACAAAGAAATATTAATAGATTAGATAAACTGTGCCAAATGGATTTCAGTGTAGACAGAGGTGAGGTATTTACTTGGAACTCAAATGGCTAGAACCAGATATTCTCTAAATTGGTGAAATGGTGGAGGTATCAAGTAAGTTGAGATCGATTAGGTACAGAAAATAATCAAAGATGCTAATGGATGCTGATCTTTATATTAAGTGGATAGAAATCATGCTTCAGCAACAATTCTGGCTGAAAGGCAACAAGAAAGGGTGTTACCTTCTTAGAGGAGGGCGTCTGTGTCTCTCTGGGACAGACATCCCCACATTTTGTGCCTCTAGAACCCAACCCACCACCGTCCCTGCCCCTTGCTAGGGTTCCCAATTTCTCCCAACCAAAAATCCCCAG